TCTATTTAATTTAATATTATATATTATTCATGTGTTTTTTCTATGATAAAGCTTAATATTATATTAATAAAATATAATAAAAATTAAAATTTTATTTTGTATAAAAGTTTTCAATTTTATTAATAAATATTTTTTATATTAAAACAAAGATTATAAATTATATTTTAATTATAAAAAATTTTCAATAAATTTGCAATCAAAACAACTTTATCAGAAAAAATCTAAAAAATCCAGAAAAAATATATGTTAAAATATAATTTATAATCTTTGTTTTGATATAGAAATAAAAAAATATTTATTAATAAAATTAAAAACTTTTATATAAAACAAAAATTTCAATTTTTACTATATTTTATTAATAAAATCGCACACATAATTCCATAATTTTGTTAGTCACTGTATATATATTCCTACAATAAATTACTGAAATCCAAAAAAAAGCATAATAAATTATAATACAATTTATTTTTATTATAAATATTTTTGTTTTTATATCATATTTTTATAGATGTTTTAAATTTAATTTCAAGAATATTTCAAATTGTAAAGTTAATTATACAAACTTTTTATAATTAAACATTTAAATTGATCATTCAGTGAGTAAAGTTATGATAAAAATCTCGTATTAGATATATATAAAGAAGTACCATATAATATATCTGGATGGTGCAAATATTGGGATTCTATTTAGAAAACAGATCAACTGCTAAGAAACTTAATGTCTTTATTGACTCTATCACTTATATCAATATCAATATCAATCGGAAGTGGAAACTACATACTTTGAATTTTCGGTACTATAGCTCTTTAGAATCTCCCAAGAAATTAATGAAAAAGCAGAAATTGATGGGACTTGATGAGGAGATGGAATTGCAAAAAGCATTCCTACGAATACGAATAAAAAACAAGAAATCTACTCAAACGCAGTTTACACCAGTCGAATGATTACTTCAAAATCAGCATCCATTTCAACACAGATATTTTCTATTTCTAAATATAATCACATTGACGTTTCATATTAATTAAAATTAATTTATTTACGTATTTAGGCACTACAAGTGTCAGTATGTTCCAAAAGAAGGTAAATATTTTTTTTCAAAAAAATACAGTATCGGGTATTTCGATATTAAAATGTACGCGTGTGACTAAGTAAAATCATCACGTATCGGTATTTGATATTCCTTCTTATTAACCTCTAATTCATTATTATTTTTTCTTTGATGGCTCAAAACATATTTAGATAAAATTAATAAGAATGAAGAGAAATCAATTCATGATTGTAGTAAATGCACTCGTTGTGAATGTTCCAATTTTCATTATCAACTTTATGATACTAAATGGTTTAGCGAAAATAAGGATATCGACTGTTAAAAGAATGCGCTAAGATTAACGTTAACGTTAATCCATGTTTCGCGTGGATCCCTTTCGAAAGATTTACCAATGTTGAATACCTTACAAAAGGGACAATTTATAAAGCACAGTTATGAATGGAATCACAAAGAAAATATATTTAAACGAGTTGATGAAGATAAATGTGAAGTTGTGTTGAGATTACGTAATTCAAAACAAATCATAAAAGAGATAATGAAAAATTTAAGCATGTTTTTTTTGTTTTCAAATAAACTTGGCTTTTCAAAAATAGATTTTGACTGCTCTAAAGTTCAGTGATCTTTACTTTCCAATAAGTTATGGAATAACTACAAACTCAGCTACGAATGAATACTCAATAGTAATGCGTTATCCAAATATAATTATACGCTTTGGGGTGATTATAGGCATATCGGTATAGAAGTCAATTTACACAATTGTATTACTTCCAACTATGAAGAATTGGCTTGGGAAGAAAAGTTACGTTAATTAGCTTGTATTATCGGGAGTCTGGGAACAATTCACAAAAAAGAGCTTCTGTGTTACGACTTTCACCCTGGAAATATATTATTACATATTGAAGCTTTCATTTGCCAACTTTGGGCTTGCGGATCCAGCAGATAGAAAAATCCAATCAAGAGATTTACGGGGTTCTTCCTTATATGAGTCCGGAGGTATTAAATGGAAAACCATACACTGAAGCGGTGGATATTTATGTTTTGGGTACGAGGTTGCCACAGGTGAACGACCATTTGGTGAACGAAGTCATAGTAATGATCTCGTATTAGCCATCTATAATGGAGTACGACCTACGATACAAAATAATGTTCCTAAACTATTCAAGTTTATTATTGAAAATGTTGGGATCCTATTTCAGAAAACAGACCAACTGCTGAGGAACCTTATTCTTTTACCAGATCTATCGACGGATATGATAGAAAACTGAATACTTTGCCTTTTCTGTATTACAGCTCCGTAGAATATCCTAAGACAGGTGAAGAAATTAAAGAGTGTCTTAAACTAGAAAAGCAATGGAAGGAACTTGATGAGAAGTTGAAATGTGTTCCTACGAATATGAACAAAAAACAACTCCACTCAACAAAATTAATTTCAATTCCAACTGACAGGTATTTTTTTATTTCTAAATATAAATCACATTGTAATGTCATATTAATTAAATTCATATCAAATGTTTAGGGTTGACTAGTGTCAGATTTTTTGTTCCAAACGAAGGTAAATTATATTCAATATTGTTTTTTTATTGGCTCACTAATTCAGTATCTTTCTTTGGTGGTATTGTAAAACAGATTCGATTTAACGTTAAATAACCACCACATGAAATTAAAGAGAGTGAGAGATAGATGAAATCAAAGACAATGAAGAGGTATCGAGTGTCTTACAACAAAAACTACAAATTCATAACGAAACATCTCCAACAAAATATGGCAATATCAAAAGAAGAAAATCGTAATTACTTTATTTTATACTTGAATTATCTTTTATCGTTATCGTTATATTTAATTATATATTTTATTCATACGTATCAATATAAAAATGATTCTCGAAAATCTACTTTTTAGAGACTACGTATCGGTATATACCGATACAGTATAACGATAACAAAAAAACGCAATAATGTCATTTTGTTACTAGCAATTTGTCGTCGTTTACTACTCTTCTTCAATCTCACTCTTTAAAAACGATACACTCTACGTACATCGTCTTTTAATTCATCAAAAAATGTGTATTGCCATGAATATTTTATTTTCATCTTCATCTACTTGAAAGATGAATGGTTTAGATATCGATTATTCCGTGATTCAAAACGAGGCAAAATAAAGAATTCTAAAGACCTGTAATCGTACGTAATGTGATACATGATACGTGTAATATCGTGTAATATCGAATTCCTTATTCTTGATTCAACATAAATAAGAGTCAACATGTGACAAGTGACGAATTCAACCTTCTACATGTATATATGCATAACTTGTACGTAATTTTTAAATTATATTAATTAGAAGAAAGTTATATCGATGTGATTATATATTATATTGTTCTTACTCATATTGCGCACAGATGCTTCGGAAACAAAAGATAAATATAATGATATGTAGAAGCGCAGTCTAATTTTTAAATGTTACTATCATTATTAATATGTTTGTTATTAACAGAATGGTAATCGCTATTTTTAGGATTCCACATCTGTATCAATTTCCTTGGATTGGTAAACAGGATGCGAGTAAATTGACGGGAAGAATTTTGTGTCCGCTGTAAACGTTTTGACCAGGCTAGAATTATGTCCAATTACTAATAAAAATTTGAAATTACACGCAAATCATAATATGATAATTGAATTATTCAAACCTTCATCATTTCAACCCCCATATGGCGGATCCCGATTATGAAGATAATTTCAGCACAATAACGTACGAAACACGATCTTGTTTATTGTTGCGATGACCGATCGGAAGCCATGTATATCTTGCCGGAGGGTGCGCGCTGAATAAAGTAGCTGGTTTTTAATGTTTGGTCAGAATGAGAAATTTTAAATTAGGTGTCATAACTATTTTTCGAACTAAAGCAAGAATATACATGTATAAGGAGAAAAAAATACGTTATTCGCAAATCAAATAGATTCACACTAAATCTCGAAGTGATTTAAAATGTGTTCCACCAACCACTATTGTTACTACGTACTCTGCAACGAAGATGACGAGTTAAAAAAAGGGTCCGAATCTCGAAGAGTAGTATATAACATACGTGTACGTATTTTGAATCATGCTACACAGATATGCCACCGTCACAATCATCAATAATCACCGCCTCACCAAACACCGATGAATTAAACGCCAGATGCATTTGCTCATTCCGATGATGTTACTGACCTTTATTTTGGAAACGTATCCAACGCAGTTGCTATCACTGGAATTTTAAGAATTCTGGGTTGTCAGGTGTTGTTGTTCGTGTATACAGTAGAGTTGTTTCTGTGCGAGTTCGGACACTGATTAGGGATAAATTATTAAATATAATCAATTAATTAATAAAAGATTAATTACTTTTTCTAATATAGAGGGAAAGAAAGAGATGATTGTAAGATTGCAAAATTGTAATTTCTTACCACCGATTGATCAATAATTTTATACTTTTAGAAACGTTGGCTCTGACCACATTTCAATAATAATAATAATATTGAAAGAATACAAGGTACAATTGAAAAAATAATAAACTACGTTGATTCGCACTAAATTCCATACGTAAAAACTTGTAGACAGCGCACCGTCAAGCCTATAGAATATTGAAGCGCTTGTGAGGACAGCTTATTGACACCGTCGTGAAACTTCCAGCGCAAAGAACCACTATACTATAAAATATTATTATTATTTGTGATTTCGATCGAAGATGTGGCTATTTTTATTATAAATTTGGTCGCTTAAATGTCTTTTTAGTTGGTATGAACATTCTTTGTGTATCTTTAAAAACTGATGGTATGTTTATATGTACAATTACATGGACACAGACCGGGTTTATGTGATTGTCCAGCATATCGATATACGTATTGCGATTAGGGCAGTTTTGATAATTTGGACGAACTATATCGATATGGTCGCAACACATTAATCTTTCTGAATTCATTCAGGAGTCCCGATACAGTTTATAAGCAACCAGTTGCGATGTGGTTTAGTTATACAGTATTGAGCAAAGGTATCTTGTGGTTGCATGATAATCGTACAGTTTCTAACCGGAATATTTAGATCGTAGGTCGTTGTTGCCAGTAGTTTCGAGCAAACTTCAATTGTATCACCCGGACTTATAAAAGGTGTTAAATTATTCCAACGGAACCTGATCAAAATTTCATTTCCGAGTATAATTGCATTAAATCTGATATTTTAGTATGGTTTCTTTGATGGGACAGTGTGTGTCGTTTGTAGGATTAAAGATACAGTACAGTATTATTATTGCTAAGATAAAGATAGTGCGTTACTTATTATTATTATCTTGAAGTAAAGGATTAGGATATGGTGTATGAACTGCAAACATATTATTATTTTCATTGCTTGGAATATCCATAATGTAAAGAGGAAAAGGGAATATGAAAGAAATACAGTGCGGGTCACTTACCACATAAAAAAATTAACTTCAAATCATATCAGAGCCCTCAAAATAATTAGAAAATACGTAGATCAATAGTTTATTGACTACTCTATAACATTACATTACGTATTTTTTTGACTGGAAAAGTTCAGATTGTTAAGTTAATAGCGATAGGTCTTAAAGATTTGGCCAATTGTGGTAACCTGCACTGTAAGAGTAAAAAAAGTACGAAGAAAAAGTTGGCGCATCGATCGAGTTTAACTTATTGGTCCAATCATGAAAGCAGTTTTTTCACGATACGTATCAACTTATTGGTCGATGCACTTACATGTATAATGATGCTAACTTATCAGTTGATGCAGTTTTTTTATCAATACCATAATTACCCTATAGCACCGTACGTATATAGTACTCTGTAAAAACTTTGCACTTAATTTAATCTTGCCATTTTTTTTTAAATAAGAAACTGCACTGTGAATTGTGAATTATTATTTGGCAGAAAAAAAAATAGGCTTTACCAAAAAAAAAATCAGACTAAATTTTCTACAGGGAAGGGTATCGGTACTTGATCTATCGACAATGACATACAAAAATTCTGATTTCGAAGCGCATATAATAACATCAATTTTTATATCATTTGAAAGCTTAGACTCTATCTTGACTTTCATAAAATTGGATTTTTATAGTGTACTCCTTTATAGTGTACTCCTTTATACGTAGTGTACTCCCTTTATAGTGTACTCCCTTTATAGTGCACTCCCTTTATAGTGGAGACTAAATATAGTGGATAATATCCACTCAATATAGATTTACTAATAAATTTCAAAAACTCGATATACGTACGTTGTGGATTTTTGAATAGCGATAGTGATAAACACTAATATAGAGTTACCGTTGTTCTACATTTCCGGACAATCGATCTATCTCGGAGGTACGGATGGCCGATGATCTGCACGCTGGTGGATGTATTGTTCAACCGATCAAATCGCAAGATCAATGTGTAATGCGAAAATTCAAAACGTTTATTTCTAACACTAACAAAAAATGTTCTTTGCTAACCGAAACTCTAAATACTTGCGATTTGCTAATCGACCCACTCACCAAGGTGGCAAATCATGTGATCGATGAAAAATTTGTGGTTAGTTTAAAATAAAAATAATGCACGTGAGTGAGAATCATGTAAATTTCGCAAATTTCGGAAATAACTTACACTATCGCTATGGCATTATTTTTCTCGAGTAAAAAAACGCGTGTGCGTGTGGATGCATAGATAGATCATCACATCATCATTAATCTCTTGTTATACTAAACTTAAAAGGAAGCCAAAGAAGGAAATGAATAGTGTTTAAAGTTGATTCACAAACAATTTTCTCACGCTCAAATTTTTTTCGCGGGCGTTTTGTTAAGAACAATAGAATTTTATAACAATATATTGTTATTGATAAGCTGTACCCCCGAATATATAGAACGTCGAAAGATTTAGTAATTACAAAAAATGCGTGTAGAGAAATCAATTACGAAAGGATACAGCATGTACACAAAAGTAGAACAAAAAAAGGGGTATTCGAGACAATGAGACTATTAACAAAAACCAAAGAAAAAAACTACGCGTGAATTATTTAATCGTCTAAATTGGCTGTCTAAACATATAATTATGAAATACGTAATATGAAAATTAAGGTTTTTTTTCTAAAACGAAGAATATTAATTTTTAGGTAATTAAGAAAGTTATATTACAAGTATTTATCTAAGTATGAAGAAATGTGAAGATTTGGCTTTGTTCCTGCAAGCAAATAATAATTAAATTAAGACTAAAAAATAATGAAAGAGATAGAACGAAAATGTACAAAGAGGATTAAAAAAATAATTACAACAAAACTTAAGAAAAAATTTACAAGTATAAAATTAAGAATTATAAAATTAAAAGTAGTATCAGTTATTATGATTCTAGCGATAAAATGAAAAAAGTATAAAGGTCCAGCCTGAATTATCTATTGAAAATAAAAAGCAGTTTAATATTTATTATTAGCGTTACGTCAGTAATTAATGAAAAAATCTAAAAACTTTACCGTTTACTATGTTTGCACAAAAAAATTTACAAAATTTTTCACTCTTTTGTATGCGTATGATGCGTCTTACAACAATCCAAATATCGTTATGCGTCAGCGGAAAGGGAATTGGCATACATATTTATAACATCGGCGACTATTAAGACCATTCTCTGCCTTGCTTTAAATACCATTTTTCGCATTTTTCTTGATTTACGGCCATGCTTTTTTGGAGGATTAGAACTCGCGTTACTGCTTGAGCGACTATGTTGAAACATTTTGTAAAGGTTATCTTTTGATTTTTGCAATTGTAAATTAATTTGTCACTTTTGAAAATTTCGATTTTATTATTATTTTCAAAAGTTAAATTTTACTTTTATATTATAATGAGGTGTGATTACTATACAACTTTTATTCTATTCTAAAATTTTATATTTTTGTCAAAAAAATAAAAAATTCAAAGAGAAGAGATTGTCTCTCGAGTTTTTTTTGTTCACGTAAAAAGTTCAATCTTTGGTATATATACGTATATCGATCGATATATATAAAATATAAAAATAAATAAATATTATACATGTATATGAAATACGTGAATTTTTTAATGATGTTTAATATGTACATTTAACGTTAATAAGTGAGAATATAGAGAATTGAGAATTAAGTGTTTCAAATTCGGCCATGTGAAACCCGTAGTGCATCGGATGATTGAGGTTGTAATATTGGCGGTGTGTGATGCAACATCGAATTGATTGATTGATATTGGCGATTGAATGATGTATCTTGTAGTTCTTTACCTTCAATCATTTCTTTTCTAACCATTCGCAGTGGAAACACACGTATTAGAATAATCATTTCGTTTTAATACCGTAAAAAGAATAAAAAATGACAAGTTTTTTTTCAAGCAAAGTTTTGCTACATTTAGGAAATGAAGCCTGTCCCATTTCTATTTCAGTAAAGTATGGGAAGTTTTCAACATCACTTTTCACATGTGCATATTTGTATGTACGTATGTATGTGTATGTATGTGTATGTGTGTATGCGTGTCTATTGTTATCATTATCGCTATGTGTAAGCGTGTGTGTGGACGGTAAATGTCTGGGTCATAGCGAAGTATGTAATTCAAGGTTTCTCTGTAGCAGAGAAAGTTAAATTTTATGCAAATTCGATGTTATATAATAATAATGCAAAAATTATAAAGACGTTTTATTGTTTGATCATTATTTACAATATCAATATATTATTATGACGGTAACAATGGTTTGATGTTACTTTTCACCATCCAATCGTGGTTCATTGTCGTTATCTTTATTGTATGGTATGGTTGGTGGTGAACAATCTGTTCCATTCTGCAAACAAAGCCGTCTTCACCAAAACGTCATTGTGAATTAAAACAATAATGATAATAGTTAACTACATATAATTAAACAAGGTCTATGATGACGAACAAACAAACGAATTCGTTTTTTTACCACCTATCAAATTTGATTTTATTTTTGGGGTCATTGATTTAAAATTAGTCTGAGACATTATGCACAAAATTTTTTTGTGATTTTAAGGGGGAACCTCTCTATTTTCCTGATAAAATTTCAACGTCCTAAATAAGAAAATGCAAGTTAATGGAATCTTCTATTGTGGGAATAAGGTATTTTTCCGTAGATGATCGAAGTAAATTAATTAACGCCAATTAAGTGAATGTGTTTTGATTTGTTTTTTGTCTGACAAACAATTAATTTATTTCCTTTCATCAGAAATTTCATTTACAGTAGTGAAAAACATCTTTTATCAAATGGCATCAAATAAGATTTACGATAGGTTTATGTTCAAATCTAAGAATGTAGAGTTTCAACAAATTTCTGCATTTGCCCATACACGAAAAAAGTAACAGCGCTCGACGGGGCTGCTTTAACAATAGCTGGCGTAATACCCTTATATAGCCCCCGAAAACCCTCAGTATTTGCTATTTCGAGTAGACAATGCAACCAAGTACTCCCGTAGGTGGGTATGTTGAGAATTATATAATTAGAAATATTTGGTCCCTGAATTTGCATTCGCTTTCGGACAACATCCATCGGAAAGACTCCTGATTTACTGATTATTCCGGCGATAGCACCGCTTATCGTGTCTTGGAAACTTGTGAGATTATAGAGGTGGCCACCTTTTTCCTGTTTTCATTTTTTTAATTTTATTTCTTTTTGATGGATATTAATTAAGGGTAATTGGCAATCAGAAATTGGAGATATTACCCCGAGAGCTTGTATCTTCTTTTTTGTTATATCTCGTACTCCAAACATTATTCCCATATACGGAATAATTTGAAGCACTGTTGGCGAGACACCACGATAAAATCCTCGTAATCCTTCATCTGTATATATCCGTTTAATCGCTTGTCCAACTGTTTTATACTTCTAATAAAAGTAATGAGTTCTTGTCTATAGCGAAAATGTTAATAATAGTCAATAATTTTACCTTTGAGTTTCCTTGTGCCGCAAACCTCGTTCTCAACAAATCGAACGGATAAGTAGTAACACTTGCAACAGTCCCACACGCTGCTCCATTTACAAACGACCACGCATTCTCGGGAAGAATGTTTTGCATTGTTTCTGATGACGAGAGTTTAACAAGTTCGTGGTATGTGAGAAATTGCACGGATCCGTATGTTAAGTATAAATATTGAGCTGAAAGGTTTCCTTTCCATAAAGACTATTTATTAAAGCGAAAATGAAATTTTAGAATTTGGAAATTGAATCTTTTTTTTTCTACTTACCAGAATACCTTCTTCTCGTGCGATTAAACTAAACGCGTGAAACATTCCGTTATATTTTTTTTGTATTTCTTTTGCGACAATCTAATTGTAAAAGATTTCATCATCCAAATATTCTCTACACGAGTTGCTTGGCCTTGAATTTAAAAAATCTTACCATTTCTCGTTTTATTGTATCTGCTTGAAGCTATGACCAAAAATTAAGCACTTTAAAAAACCAGATGTAAAAATATTACCAAGAAATTAAAATTAAATACCTGTAAGCGTATTTTCACCACGTCTAACGGGGAAACAACCATTCTATAGTTATACTCAAGACTATGAAATTTCGTTTGAAAATAAAAGATATTATCAAAAAAAAACTTGCCTCGATGCTATTCCTGCCATTCCACCACAAAATGCAGCTTCCATAGATGATATTGAATACGATTTCTCGGTTGGTGAATATTTTTTATTTGTTGATTCTGCCATTGATGCCAAAATTTAAATAGACTATCCGTTCAGTTATTATCTATCGTTATCGTTATTTTATTATAAAAATGTTTCAGTGATTAATTCGGCAAGTCGTTATTAACGTTAACGTTAAGCAGAACAATGTTACATTCGTACAGTTGTGCATTATACATGTTCATGTACATGTAATAATGACGATCTTATGACACGGACAACTACGTATGCCTTTTTTGGTATAACCATGACAATATACTAGCACTAGCGCTAGTTCCCCTTGCATTTTCCAAAAAATAAAAAAGTGCAAATATTCTTCAGGACAAATAAGTAAGCTCGCCAGAGATCAGAATTATAATGAACTGATTGCAAGTTTATGCCAAACTAAGTGTCTTCAATCCGTTCTTTATTTGTTCGAAATATAATTGGAATTAAGATCGTTAAAGAAAAAATTAAAGTAAAAAAAAAAAGACGGGAAATTAAAATAAATTAATTAGAATCATCATTACATTTTTTTAGAGCTGTTTCAATAGATTGAACATCAATATTGTATTTTTGTCACGTTCGACATATGAGATGAAAAACTCGAATATAAATAATTTTTTCACCAATTTCAGCATACGTAAACAAAATAAATAAACTAGCTAACCGCCAAGACAGTCGATTTTACGTATGTTTTGAATTCACTTATTATCACGAAATGTGTCTCGCAAGACTGATAACGAGTTTTCAAGATGAAACCACTTTAACGAATGTTGTATTTACTCCTGCCACAAATTCCTCAATTCCGAATCCTTTATAAAAATAACAACTTTATGAAAGCTTGTTAAAGAAAATGATATACTTTCCTGTTGTTATAATATACAGCATATCGTTCGTTCAGAGTCGAACATCATATCCATTCCTCCGAAAGTTTGCTGCATCAAACCAGTGAATTCTTTGAGAAAACTCGTCAAATTTATTGTATTTTCAATCAATTTTCTATTACATATTGCCATCTCATACGTGCATTATTATTTACTTTTCTAGGAAGGATGAGAACGCAAACTGTTCCGCCTCACAATTTAGAAGCAATTTTCCCAATCAAACGATAAGAGTTAATTCTTACGTTCTAGTAATTCTTTGTACGAAATGCTTTAATCCACAGCTTTAATTTTGAATGTCCTTTTCATTTCTCGTGTTGCAGATAATCGTAGGTCGCTACATTGCCATATCACGACCATGTCATCATTAAGTGCACACCCTCTCGACCAATCAAAATTCTTAAATCATGATTAGTATCCAGGGATACTGATTGGATCAGAACCAATCTGAAGCTTTAGTCTGATTGCAAACTACGTATATAGTCTTAGTGCGTGACTTTTTGTCACACGGTAATATTTTTAATGGATCAGAAAATTTTCACAATCGAAATAATTTAAATTTTTCCTTGATTTAATAAATTAGACGAAGTCTATTACGAAATATTTCAAACAATTCGCGTTGATAGTTCTTGTTCGGAGTAATCAAAAATGACACATGTACACTAAGTTGTACATGTAATACACACCCCTACAATATATTGCCGTAATTTCAAAAATGAATTTGTCACTTTGGAACCCGATATCTCGACATCCGGTGATCCCATTCGAACAAAAATATCACCATTAGATTCGTATAATCGAGGCGAATCTAATGGTTATATCTTTGTTCGAATGGGATCACCGGATGTCGAGATATCGGGTTCCAAATTGACAAATTCATTTTTGAAATTTCCGGCAATATGGGCTGAGTGCACTTAGCCCCCATACCTGATAGATCTGTATAACAGTCAATAAAGATAATCTTTTTTCCTCGCAATATATAAGCCGACGCATTATTTTCTTCTATAATATAACCAGCCTAAACTACGCTCAGGCAGGTACTTACTCAAAATGTGATAGGAAAACTAAGACATACATAGTTTTTTTGAACTGAATCGTCGATGTGCCACCATTTTCATACGATTGGACTGGCCTTGATGGTGCATGGGCTAGAAGATTGCCCACCGGACCAAGTGTTGGGAAGCTTTAGATCCGTTGTCTACCGGATCTAGAGCATCAATAGGCTTCCTGGTCCCCAACTTCGCGACCCGTCTTACTTTTTTTTGTT